TACTGATAAGGCCATTTTACTGTAGGGCTGGGTTCAGACAACATGATAACCTGGATTATGGTTCATTATGAGTTGAGTGTGAGTTGTCATTGAACAGAACTGCTCTAACAAGCCATGGCTTATTAACCATGAAGAACCCATGAAGAGAACCATGGTTTGTTGTTGGGCTACAAACCGTGAGTTATCAAGCATATTTAGCTGTCTCAACTGGGTTCAGGAAACATGATAAACTATGTTTCAGCAAACCATGGTTAAATGACAACCCAGTCTGAACCCAGTGTAGATGTTCCATAAGCAGATGGGTTATAGAAAAAGAATAATAATTAGTAAGCTCCTTGGTTTCTTTAGTGATCTTGATTTATTGTTGCCAATGTTCCTATTGTTGCCTTTTTTGTTATATGTATCTCAAAATGAAATGTCATGATTAAAAAGAGACTTCTGGACAAAGATGTGAGTTGCTGTCCAACAACATCTGGAAGGCCCCATGTTCCCCATTCCTGGCTCTGAGGTTGATGGCTGAGTTGGATTTAAGCCCAAGGAGATCCAAATTCAAATTGTCACTCAGTCTTGAAGCTCTGTAAGGGATCTTAGTTTTTCACTCTCCCCACCATGCCCTTTTGGGGAAGAAGAAGTGCAGAATATAAATTTAATAATTTAACAGCCTTACCATCCTCACAAGGTGATTGTGAGGATAATATGGTAAAAATACTTTAATAACATAAATAAATAAAATAGAGGTGACCCATCCTTAAAGATGACCTTAAAATTGTTTTAAATTACAAGAACATGTATATGTGCAAGGGGCTAAGCTCCTTGGAGCAAGATAAGACAACAACAGAATCTTTCTGCATTGAGCTTATGGCAATGAAGACTTTGACACTTGCTGAGTGGGTATCATGAGACTGAATGTTTAATTGCTCACAGAACAAAAGCAGTTCACAGTCCAACTTCTGTGAGAGAAGGAGAAGTTGGTAGTTCTCTGAGTGTGGGCTGAGAACTGTGGAGGGATTCAGGGAAGCAAAAAGCCAGGAAGCCCAGACGCAAAGAGGCTGAACAGAGAAGACTGCAGGAGAGACAGATGGAGAATGAAGCTTATGGAAAAGGGCAGAAGAAGCAAAGTGAGATGAGAATAATGAAGACTATAAAGTGATGGTACTGTGCTGAAGACTGAGATAGATAAAGGGAGAGGAAGGGAGGGATGCTAGTCAGGAGATGGAATGGGACAGAAAAAGCAGGACGCTGAGGAAATACTGGCCGATGGCAAATGGAGCTGAAGACTGCAGCAGCCAGAGGGATAATGCATGCTTAAGGTGAAAATGTGGGCAGGCAGATGGGCTTGGATGACAGGGAATTACAGGTTAGGGAGCCCAGGGGTAATGCTGGCCAGAGCTGAGCTGAGACTTCGACTGCCACTACAGGGTTGTGACTCGGCTGTCTGAAGAACCGGGGGCAAGGCCAAAATGCATGTATTGGTTGGCATTAGCCATCCGGTTCTTTCTCTCGAGGGTGCCAGTGGACATTACCTTTAAGGAATATTTGACACACAGTTCCCAGCAATGAGGCTAATTAACGTGCTCAGACAATTACGCAGATTCAAAAGAATCATAGTTAAGAGTGTGAACAACTGAGTATGTAGGCTGGGTCTCAGCCGCTGCTGAAACGCAAGCATGTGTTACTGGGAATTCACTGTATCAGAACTGTTCATACCTTGATCTATCAGAAAAGGAGCATGGGTTTTAATTTTGAGGGGGAGGGGATGTCCACTAGCCACTTAATATTTCATACCCTACTCAAGCCAATAAGCAGAGTTTGTTTGCAAGTCTGGGCGAACATCTGAAGACTGCTGGGTGGACGTGGCTGGAGCACTTTCCCTCCCACTCCTTGTGTTCATATCTACATGCCTGAATGCATGAACTATTCTTTAGCTAATCAATACTCAGTGTCTTTGCCACAGGGTGATTTGACCTTAACTGGACGGGATTAGCTGACCGAATGAATGGCTGGACAAAATTTTGTGGTCTGCTAGGTTACATGGTCTTGTGAGCTTAAAAGATGGTTGAAAATCATTTTTTCCTGCATTTTTAGCACCAACCATACCATGGCAGGATGGCCTTTGTGTAAGTCATGGTTATCAACAGAAAATAAACAAAGACGCTTCTTGGGATCCAGAGGCTGGGGACCTTTTGCTTGGGGGCAGCACAGCTTTGCTTTCAGAGATTTTGTGTCTGGGATTCACCTTGCTCCCCACTTTAAAAAAAAATATCAGGCTGCCACAGGCTCTTTGGGGAATCAGGCTTGACTGCCTATCCTTTTGTTGTTGTGATGTGCCCTCAAGTCATCTCCAATTTATGGCTACTCTTTGAAGCCTCCAAAATGTCCTATCCATGACTGCCCTGCTCAGCTCTTCCAAATTCAAGGCTGTATCTCCCCTAAAGGTGTCCATCCATCTCATATTTGGTCTTTCTCCTCTTCCTCAGCCTTCAACTTTCCCTAGCATGCTGGTCTTCTCTAGGGAATGTTGCCTTCTCATGGTGTGCCCAAACTACAACAGCCTCATTTTGTCATTTTTGCTTCTAAGCCTATCTGTATATTTTAAGAAAAACTCTCCGCGTATGGAAGTTTAATTATTTAAAAAATGGCAGAAGCTCTTTTGGTTCCCCAAAGAAGATTAATATCCATTACAGTGCTTGCTCTGTTTTAGCTGCCCTAAAGATACCATCAAAAAAACTCTTCAGAACAGACAGCAAGCATTTTTTCTTGTGTGCATATAAAAAAAGCATTATTGCTTTGGTTTGGATAGGCTGATTTGGGCAGAAGAGATATTGCAATCGCAGGTATATGGATGTCTAGAGACGGAAGCTTTAATAGGATAGATGGTGTATGTGTATCAATAAGAGGCAGTTCCTGCAGAAAAGAACATGTAGTCAGAACAGTCAAAATGCACAGCAGCCACAGAGCAGTTCAGCAACTAAAGCAGCCATTGTGCGCATGGTTGCAGGGCCATTGGATGAAGAAAGGCTCGGGGGCAGCCTGCTCGCTGCTGGAGATCCCCAACATGGTGATGGAAGGGTGGATGTTTCCTGCTGGCTTGAAGCAGGCACATTGTGAAGGAAGCTGGATGGACCTCTAAGCACCTCCTCTCTGTGGCTCAGCCTTGAAGCTCTGTGGCAGGTCTTGAAGGCACACGTCCCAGATGCCTTCTTCTTTTCCTGTTGGCTGTGGAGATGGGGTTAATGCTGCATCAGGGAACTGATGGGGAGGGGAGAGTTAAGCCTACCCCACAAGGCCCAGGCTGTATCTCTTCTCCCCAGTGGCTGCTTTTCAGGATAAGAAAAAAAAATACTGGGATTGTGTAGCTCGGGCGTAATTCAGCTCTTTCTTTATGAACAAGGGGGCATGTGATATTTAATTGATTACATATATCCATCCCTTCCTTCGAGAAACTCAGGGCAATGCATGTGGCTTCTCTGCATCCCACCCTAGAGAGTCTTGTGTGGAAGAGGCCAGCCTACAGTGAGTGATGGACCCCACGAATTTCACAGCAAAGTGAAGCTTGGAACCCACAGTTTCCCAGTCCTAGTCCCAGTCCCACTCATCATGTTGCTGGCTGACATGAGACAGTATGGATGGGCTTGCAGTGCCTTGCAGAAGTATGTATCCCCTGAGACTTTTCCACATTTTCTTGCGTTACAGTCTGCAATTGAAATGGAGATAGTTGGCATTGTTATCACATGATACACACCTGGTGTGCACTTATGCAACCAAGTGCTAGTCTGTTTCATTTACTTAATTTCTATACCATGATAAAAATATTTTGCACCTTCACAGTGTTGAGTAGTTTGTGTACATCAAGGAATAACCATGCCAAATAAATTCATTTCATCCCAGATGGTAAAACAACAAAATGCGGAAAAGTCAAAGTGGGGTGAATGCTTTTACAAAGTACCTCTTTAACCCACAAGTTGGTCTGATGCTTTACATTTCTGGTTGCAGTTTTTATATGGGGGAGGGGGGCAACATTTGAATATTGTCAACAAACTGCATGGCACGCCAGCAGTTTAGCTTAGCTTACAGACAAGCTTGAGCTGAATTTTTTTGTGTTTTTTAGTCCTTTACTTTTTCCAACAGGCAGCTGGAGGGAACTGTGGCGGGAGCACATGGGCTGAACGTTGCCCACCCACCATGTATTGCCCACCTCTGGCTTATGCACTCACGCAGTGGTTGGGTATACTTCCGGGCAAAGAAGAAAGGCGGCCACAACTTTCCCTCCCCAACATTGAATATCAGATAATATAGCTTTAAAAAAGAGGGTTGTGTTTCTAGTCCACATGGTTAGGGAGGGGACACTGGAGACCAACAGGTAGCATCAGGTGAGGAAAAGGAGACAAGACAGAACAGAAAGAGGCTTCCAATAATAACTAGGTGCTGGGTAGCAGTCCACGGTGGTCTAAATTACAGGAAGCCAGAATCCAGCCAGTTTCCAGATTCCAGCTAGAAAAGTTTCCTGACTGATGCAGCAGTATGGCAATGGAACCCATGACCCAGGTAGGTTGTGGGCTCTCATACTGGAGGCAGGCAAGAAGCAGTTGGACAGCCCTTTGTCGGGGATGCTTTAACTTGTGGTCCTGCCCTGTGCAGGGGATGGACTTGATGGCCTTATAGGCCCCTTCCAGCTCTACTATTCTGTGATTCTGTGTAACAGCATGCTCTTCCTCTTTTATAGTACTGCCTTTTTTGACTCTTCCTGGCTGTCTACATTTAGCCTTTCTCCTTCCTCTTTTCTAGAAGTTTTCTAGAAGTTGCCTTTTTCAAAAAACTTGATGTTGTTTGGAATCTTGAAAGAGGATGGCATGATGCCCTTTGCCTCTGAAGCTAGGAAGGGCTTTGGTTGTGCCTTGCCTAGCACCTTTAACGCCTGTTTGGGCTGCAAGGATGGGCACACACGGGTGGGTGTGTCATCACACTTTGCTGTCAACGTTCTCCTTTGCTTTCCTGGATAGCCTTGTGGACAGCAGCTGCATCATGGGGTGCAGACCGGGCATGTACTTGATCAAGGAGCCAGTGCGATGTGAGGGTTGCCACGCGAACTGCAGGACCTGCACAGGTACGTTCTAAAGCTCTGCGGATGGTCTCCAGCTTGCATCTCCACATGTGGCTTTGGTTACAGAGGTAGACAGGGCACGGCTGGTCGGAATAGTGCCTTGAGGGCTTCCGCATCCCTTGTTGCAGAGAAAAGCAAAGCCAACATGGAGGTTCCACAAGTGAAAGTCCAGTAGCCTTGGGTGTGGGGCTCAGTCACTGGGTGTGGGGTGCTGTTGTGGGTGGTGCTTTGCTGTGCCCTCTCTGGGCCAATTGAACTGTAACAGCAGACCACTGGTTGGTGTTGCATGAATGAATCTTAGGTCTGTGCTATCCCTGGATTCCTGAATCATAATGAACTTCATTTCCATTTTATTTTAGGGGGCCAGCATAAACCATGGTTAGCCAGCTGAACACAATGGCAAACTTCTGGTTGCCATGGGCCACTGCCCAAGTTGGGGAGGGTAATGCATGACTCCAGGGTGAACTGGGTCTGTGTGTCTTGGAAACCATGACTGTTTTGCTTGTTATTTCCCTAGCTAGTTCTAATATTTCTCTGTAAAGTGTATTATCCATGCTTCCTTCATCAGCATCACTGATGAACAGAAATATACTGTGCTGATATTATGGGCTGCTTTGTTTACTACCTGAAGCTCTGTGCCAGAGCAGCTGGGATTCAACATTACTGTCTCTGAATGTTGGAGGGTCTGCTTGGCTAGGAAGGTGATGAACTACGAACAGATACCGCGCCTCCATTCTTTTGTCTACTCCTTTTTTAAAGACCATCTTGACTAGTGGCCATCCCAACATCCCATAGCTATGAATTCCATGCATTTTATATTTTGTGTAAAAAAGGTGTTTTCTGAAGAAATGAGAACAGAACATTGAGGTTAGGGAGGAATAATCTTTGAAAGAGACAAGAAGAAAAACTGCACTCAGAAGTAAAAATGGATTACTTCTGAGTAGACATCTATATGATTGCACTGTTGGCAGAACCATTCTTCGGTCCAGGCCAATATTTCAGAAAGCCCAGGACTGGATTAATCTTACCCTGCTTTTGGCTCTGGCCTCTTGGCAGAGCAGCAGAGCAGCAGAGGCACAGGCTGGGAGAGAGGCTGAGTGGCCAGGGGACTGGCGAAGGCAAGGTAGGAGCTGGCAGGGGAGCAGGGGCAGGAGCAGCGGAGAGGAAGGGGGCGGGGCCAGAGGGGCTAGAGGGGCCAGGAGGAAGCAGGGGGGTGGGGCCACCGGCCGGAGGGACTGGACTGCGTCCCTTGGCTGCGGCCCGGGCTGTCCGGAGACTCCCTTCCCTGAGACACAGAGGTTTGATAGTTTATTTGTTTTTGTTTGTGCTGTGCTGTGCTGTGCTTTGCTTTGCTTTGCTTTGCTTTGTTTTTAGCCTAGGTCATCCAAGGCCTAGGTCTATGTTAGCCTAGGTCATCCAAGGACATGCACTAGACTAAAAGCATGGGAGATTCTCAAAGGATGAATAGTCATTTAGAAACATAGAAACAGAGCGAGTCAGAAGGGGCCTCCCAGGCCATCTAGTCTGACCTCCGGCACCAGCCGGCTCCACTCACGACATGCCCACCATGTGGATGTCCAGCCTGTCCTTGAACACCCGCACCGATGGGGCCTCAACGACCTCTCGTGGAAGCCCATTCCACACCCTCGGGGTTCTGACTGTCAGGAAGTGCTTCCTGGCATCCAAACGAAACCTTGGCTCCCTGAGCTTTGCTCCGTTGGAGCGTGAATTTCCTTGTGACTTTATGTAGAGAAGAAGTCACAAGTCATAAATTCCCTTGTGACTTTATGTAGAGAAGAAACTACAACAATAAACTCTGTCTCTGCGTTGAGATACTTATTTCTAAGGGCCCAAGGTCTTCTGAATGCACTACTTCTAGTTTGCCAGTTCTAAAGCAAGAGCAGTTAATGCTTCTAGATAAGAAAAATCTTGAGTCCAATTGGATTCCACTTTACTGTGCAGTTTGTAAATCCAAATTCTGTTTTGTGTACATAGCATCACCCAAACAGAACTGTGTGTTTTGCTAGTCATAAATGCCTGGAATAGTCTCCTTCTTCTCAATAACATGAGCTAGGCATGTTGTAGCAAACCTTTTTGTTAAAAAATGATGTTGGAGAGAGAGAGAGAGAGAGAACTTATATATATGGAAGTCTGGAAGGATGGAAGTTTTACCTTTCCATAAGGCTTGCAGGAGACCATATAAAACCCTGTAAGAATTGTGCAAGGGAGCTTTTGAGTACATAAAAGTGTCAACACTTCAAAAACTATGATTTTACATGGGAAGCCAGTGCAGTGCCCCACTGAGAATTTACTTCACTTTCAGCTCGTTCTGTCCCAGACCAGTAATAATTTAACAGCAAATACAGATTTTTTTAAAAACTGCAAGCACTAGATTGAAAACAAACCTGTGTTCAGACTTTGTTCCATTGGAAGCTGAGCAGCTGCTTTCCCTGGAGAAAGTGGCCATGATCAAAAGAGAAACTTTATTTGTGCCCAAGGGTTGCATGAGCCTGGAAGAAGAGATTGCAGAGTGGGGGTGAAGGGGGTCCTTTACATGATTGACTTCAAAGCCACATAACAGACCTTGAGTTTCAAGTGCAAATTGTGAGGCTTTGGGCTGCCCTGAGCCCGAGAGACCTGCTGCTCAGGCACCAATTTAATACTTCTTGTGCATCCAGACCTGGTGCTTCGAGAAATGGGCTGTGAGCAGTTGGAGTTGGGGTGCTACCCCACAGACAAGTGGTCTCTTGGATTCAGAGAACAGGTCCATGCCATTGCTTGCTACACGCTCCCTGATGCATGGTGCTTTCTCAATCTGGAGAACTTAACTGCCAGCGAGGGCTGCTGTGCCTTAATCACTGGTATTAAAGCTGCAGGGCAGATACTGGGTTGCAGCCTGGTAACCCTTCTAGGGAAGTTTGAGGCATCACATCATTGTAAGTGCATTCCCTCTTTTTATTGAAAATGACCAGAGGGGTACTCCTAGCCTTGTCCTACAGCCTGGAGTCCCACAGGCAGTGTTCCTTGCCAGAAACAGCTGCCCTTTTATCACCTGGTCTGCAGCCAAATTACAGCAGGGAAGCATTAGTTTCTTACATGCAGTGTACTCTGAGTGAGTCCATCTGCTCTGGCCTGTAAAATGCTTCCTCCTATAAGTCCTGCTTCTCAGGACCAATCAGGATGTTGCCCCCTCTCCCCCCAGGATGCAATTTGAGACCTTCACATGGTAAATCCCAGATGGCCAGCTGTCTCCAGCCAAATACTTGCGCTCTGCTCAAAGTCACGTGCAATGTTCAAGGCATATGTGGTTGCTTATGTGGTGTAACTGGTTTAATAGCATGCTTTATCTTGAACCCGACTTTTGCATGTGGGGTGGGTGGGGTGGGGCCAGTGGCAAACAGCAAAGGAGAGGCAAGAGCCACCTCTTTGTTAAAGAGCCAGTGCTGTGTGAGGGTTCAAGTGTCCAACTTGGACTGAGGAGAACCAGGTTCTCATTGGGTTGCCTTGAGCCAGTCATGCATTACAGGGCTAACCTACCTCACAGTGAAACTAGTACAACTAGGTGCATACGAACGTATGTGTGGCAGTAGATGACTGTAGAGATAAGAAAAGATTTAATTCACAGCCTGGATTCTTGCTGGTTAAATGGAAGCTGCCCTTGACCAGGCCTCTATGTTAGGATTATTGCTCTGTCCCTGGATCTTTATAGTGCTATGCTTAGCATTAGCCACTGGAATGGTAAACAGCTAAATACTGGAAATACTGAGGGGACTTGGATAGGACTGCGAATCTGAGAAGAACAGGTAGATATGTAGGACACAGAAGTTGCTGCTTGACTGTTGAGGAACTTCAGGAAGTGAGCATGTTCAAAGAAGGTTCCACAACCATGAGAGATAGTTACTTCGTATTGTCAGGGAACAGATTCACCTCTGCATGCCCAAACTGGCAGGAGACAAGCCAACCTAGCAGTTGTTGGGGCATGATCCGTACAGCACACAGATCGTTTTTGCACTGGGGCGGTGGAGAGAAAATTCTCTGATGCCATCTTTGCTTGCTGGCAAGAAACCAAAGCAGTCCCATCCTGCTCTTTGTTAATGTTGTATTTTAATAAATCACAGTGATTGGAACTTGCATTTCAGCTGTTCTGTTAGACGATGGAAACTGCTGACTTCAGTCAATGGCATGAATTTCTTCTTCATTTAAGTTTGTTCTTTTAAAGGGCTCAAGCATTTTGCCATTGCTAAAGTCTGATAAGGGAACCGTTCTTAGATAGTGCCAGGTCTTGGCCATTGATAGGAAGGGACCACATTGATTTCAAGTGGTTTTAAAGGTGCAATAGCTTCTTTCTTCTCTCTCCTGAGCAGAGCAGCAAGCAGATTCCACTTTTAACTTCCCAGTCAGCTTTTGATCCAGGGATCGTCCACCTGATTGACAGCAACATTTTTCCAATTCTCCTTAGGTCCAGACCAAGAGGAATGTATGCAGTGTGCCAGGAATTTCCACTCGCACGAGTGGAGGTGTGTCTCAGCATGTGGGGAGGGCTTTTATCCTGCCGAGATGCTTGGACTCTCACACCGAGTCTGCAGAAGGTATGGTCTGTTTGGGCAGCCAAGTCCTGAAGATCAGTTCTGGCATGACACAAACATGGATCTGTGTTCTTCAGGGTACTCTGGGGGGCCTCCAGGGGGACAGGTCCAAGCACCAACAGTCAGAACTGTTTGTGCTGCTTTCCATGTTTTCCAATTTAATGCATTTTCTGCAATAAGAAAAAGACAGAAAAAGCCGTAGGGAGACATTGCAGCATTACAGCACCATCGGGAGCCCTGTAAAGTTCTGTGAATGAGACAGAACAGGGTGATGGTGCATTAAAAGACTTTCCTGGGGGCAGCCATGGGGTAGTGAGTGTGAAAACAAATCAAGATGCTTGCATCCTCAGATGCTTCCATCCCAAGGGCCTTTAGTAATCCTCAGGCAATTTCAGAAAGTGGTGTATTCCTTGTATTTCCGCATATCATTTTGCTACTGCCTGCTTTCAGCCACTTTCAACATTGTTCCTGCAGCAGAAATGGTGGGGAATACATTTCTGCCTGGTCAAGTCCCTCACAGGGTTGAGATTAGTGATAGAATACCTGCTCTGCATATAGAGGGTTCTGGGTTCATTCCTTGGCTGTGGAAGACCCTTGCCTGAAACCTTGGAGGGCTGCTGCCAGGCCATGTTGACAATACTGGCCTTGACGGACCCATAGCCTGACACAACATAAGGCAGCTTCCTAGGTTAACTCTCTAAGTAAAGCCAGTGTAGTGCAATGGTTAAAAATATTGGACGGGGACTCAGGAGACCTGGGTTCGAGTCCCCACTCAGCCATGGAGCTCAATGAGTGAATTTGGGCCAGTCACAGACTCTCGGCCCAACCTATCTCACAGGGTTGTTGTGAGGGTAAGACTGAGAGGAGGAAGAGAATTATTTAAGCCACCTTGAGTTCCTTGAAAGGAATAAAAGGCAGGATCTAGATATAATAAAATAAATAAATAAGTGCATGGGATCATGCACTTGGCTACTTTCACCACTGCAGAAACCATTTTAGGCAAGCAAAGAAAAAAGTACTCATGTGGGCTTGGGCAATCCCTGTACTCTTTGTCAAGTTGTCAGTGGTGCTGATTTCTATATCACCCCACAGCCAAAGCTTTCTGGGCAGTTTACAACCCAATCTGTAAAACAAACCCCCAGAATTTGCAATAATAATAATAATAATAAACATTCAGAAGTGTAAAGCAGCAGAAACAAACAGCAGAAAAGCATGGCTCTGCAAACAGCTGGGATGGGTAATTCTCCTCAAGACGGATCCTGCTCACTTGACCTCGGACCCAAACAGGTGTCTGGCCCTGACGTGTTCAGCCAGGTCCTCATGGGCTGTCCAGTGTCCCCACCTGTGCTGATGTGCTTTCTTCAAATGCCACCTTTTTAAAACTGGCTTTGTAGAGAAGAAAAACTCAGAGACAGCATCTGAATGAAGTAGAGAATTTCTAATATAAATTAACGAGACACGGTGGGATTGTGGGAGGGGCTAATAGCCAGATATGTTCCCCACCCTTCTTCTGTGCCGGGTGGGGAACTTCTTTCAGCTTAGGGCCAAAGGCTGTGGGTCAAAAATACCAGCTGCCTGTAACTCAGAAACTGTTCTATCTAGTAAACAAGCCTTGGAAAAGGCATTGCAGTCTTTCTAGAATGGGGAAAAGGCACAAAAGCTGGGAAACCCCACCCAGCAGTGGTTGGGGGAAGGGGTTTGGATCCAGGGAAGGGACCTCTGGGGACCCAGAAGGGCAGGTGTGGGACCCCAGGAGGACTGCCTCAGCCCCAGTCGCTGTTGTGTGGCTTACTTAGAACTACTGCTCTGCTTGCTAGTTACTAGAAATACTTTTCTTCTCTCTGATCCCCAGGTGTGAAGATAACTGTCTAAGTTGTGATAGCTCTGGAAGAAAGTGTATCAGCTGCAAAGAAGGCTTCAGTCTGCTGAGTGGCTCATGCATTGCAAGTGACCGATGCCACAATGGTATGTATTAGCATGGAATTTTAACTAAAGGATGCCCCGTCCAGATATGCAAACACTGAGCAGAACAAAGTCCCCCTTTGTTCATTTCTGTCTTCATATGAACCAGAAAGCATGAAAGATGAACCTGCATGGATGCGGCGAGGGGCCATAACAGGCGATTTTTCAGAGCTGTGGAGCACAATATCAAGCGGTGAGGGAGGGCAATTCTACAGCTTGGACAGAACTAGATTTTTAGTGTTATATTGGAGAGCAACTAGGGAGGAAATGAATGGGAACCCTAGGAACTGGAATTTCAGTCTGATCATTATTATTAGTTCTGCATACCTACATTCCCCAGAATCTCATCCTTATGTGCAGCCACATGTTCCACATTCTTCACTGCCTTCTTGTATCAGGAACAGAGGCGATTTTTAATTGCTTCATGTTTATGGAATATAGAATGAGCCCTTCTGGAATTAAAGTGGGGCTGGGTGGAAAGGAGGGTGGTAAAGAATGAGTGACTTGAAAATATGGTAGATAAAAATTCATCAGTATAACTTTTCCTGGCACAGAAAATACATGGAGCTCACTTTTGAAAAATGGGAGAAATTTGCATATTCAAATCTGTACAAGATGCCAACTGTCACTTTATAGCACATTCTCAGATCCAGCTTTTAGTCATTGCAATGTCTAAACTTCAATTGAGAATTCATGGAGAGACCCCTAAAAGTGACTGGCATAAACCTTCCCTAGCCTGCCCCTGGTTCCTGCTGTTCTGTGGCTTTGCAAGGGCGCAGTGAGCCGAATGGGCCGTAACTCAGGGGAGAGGTGCAGGCACCGCACCGCAAAGGCTCAGCCCCTTGCCTCTCCAAGGAGGACTGGGCAGGCAGCTGCTGGAAGCCCTGAGGGCTAGTGCCAGTGCTGATCAGGGGTCTGGCTCACTGTATGGAGGTTTCCCATGGCGAGTGGATTGCCAGAGAACAGAGCTGCAGTAACCCACCCCCTGCCTCCTGCTCTTTGCACCATCTTCAAGCCAGGGTAAACCACAAGCTCCAACACAGTGCTGTGTTGTCCTCTTCTCATCCACTTTTCCCTGCCCATCCACTGCTCGGGCCGGAATGCCCTGGCACAGAAGATAGCGCTGGCTTGCACGGGTGCATTGGTGCAATGCCTGTGTAGAGAGCTGCAGCTGGATGGCTACACTTGTGCAAGAGAGTTGCTCGCGGCATCCACAAGGCCGTCCTGACCTTGGGACTCTCCTAACAGGGACAATGTGCCTCTTTCAGTTCTCTTCAGTAGAGCAGAAAAGTGTTTGCTGCATTTTTACAGCTCCGAATTTGTTCAGTTGAAATATTCATCTAGTATCTTTCCCCCCTCCCAAACATGTCCTCTCCCAGCTGACGAGTTCTTCTGCGATATGGTGAAATCCAACAAGCTGTGTGAACACAAGCCATTTATACAGTTTTGCTGTCGGACGTGTCTCTTGGCTGGCTAAGCTGAACATTTAATATCTGCCATCTGGATGCCCCGTCGTGCCAGTTCCCTAGGACAAAGTTACCCTTTCTTCCCTTCCAGCTTCACCCAGTGTTGGCTTGAGGCTTCAGCTTGCAGTTCAGATCATTTTGCCAGCTTGGTTTCCGCAGTGTTACGTCTGGTGACCCTGAGCTTAGGAGCATCCTTGCCTTGCTCATTGCATCTTTACAGAAAAATAAATATGCACCTGGCAACATGATTCATGCACAGAAATTGACCCTTCCAGTTTGCATCCAAGCACAAACTTTGTAACACCATGAGCTTAAGTTTTCCCTGCACCTTCAAGAAGAAAAGGGGATCCCACCCACCACCCAGCCCCACCTAAAAGATTGTAGCATTTCAGGATAGCTCATGAATCCCTGGGATTGGTAGCAGTAGTGTTGCGTTCTATTCCAGCGCAATAAAGGAACGTTGAACAACACTGTGACTGGAAAACCCACCTATTCTTGCTTTTGAGTAGCAGAGGTGGCCTTAGCAAACTTGCAGACTGGCTGTGACCAAAGAGGAAATTCTGCAAATGGAAGGAGGAGGTGAACGTGACCTCTGATTTATCCCCCAAGCGTCCATCTAGCTGTGGGCTGCTTGGTGCAACCGGGCCCTGCATGGCTGAGGTGCCTGTTGACAACGTAGCCGGGCCAGCCACCCCAAGGACTGAATTGGAAGCCTTCTCTGTGAAAGGGATGCTAGCAAATTAATATTTCGACTGCAAGTGCGGGCTAGAATAATTTGCTCCCTGCAACAAAAGACCACCCCACCCCTCCCAGGATTTGCATCTCCTAGCTTTGATGGATGGCATGTTTCTGGCCGACTGCAGCTTGCTGAGAGAACCTTCCTGTCTGATGGCAGCTCAGTGACTCCTAGTAAGCAATCCCTTCCAAGAGACGTTCTGTTTAGCCAACCGGGAGGAAAAGAAAACAACCAATTTTATGAAACGGTGTTATAACACATTTGAATGTGTTTGCTATACATTCAGACATATCTATCTAGCTATCTGTATACACGCATACACACATAATATATTTTATAGTTTGTTGTGTGGTGTTTATATAATTGTGTTAAAATATATTTGGCTATGTTGTCTTACAGATTTTTTAAAAAGTAATTTATACAGTCATTGGCTTTCTTCATAGAATTTTTAAATTATTTTTTACTGCAACAGAACTTTTTTTAGAGCATCACTTTCCCTTCTAGTGACATTTTTTATAAGTTGCAACAAAGATATCCCTTTCCACCCCTCTCATCAGACATATGTAAACAACACTTAGTTTTTTCGCCTTATACTGCCTGATCTGATTCACGTTGTTGGTCGTTTTAATAAGTTAAACCTTCAGCCCGTGAAATTGGCAGTAAAACATTAATTGGCTCTTTACAAAGTGGGTTTTCTAAGTCTTTTTTTCCCCTTTTTTCACGGGGGTGGCTAAAATTAACTTTATGTTCATATTACTTCAGACCCATGTTCTTTCAAACTTGGCTGGATGAATAGTGAAAGCAAGCGCAGTGTCTCTGATATGAAACAGATTGATGGTAAAGATGGTAAACATGAATAAAATGTTTGTAGTCCTCATGAGTTACTTTGTCCTTTTTTTGGCTCAAATTATCAAAGTAAATTGGTTTGCTTTACAATGAAAAATATCCAATTTCTGTGCAACCTTTTAAATAATTATTTTGTCAGGACCCAGAAACTGTATTCAGCAGTGAATTGCATACATGGACTTACATAACATTTTTGTGGGATGTAGTTCAGCTGGTCTTATTCAAGATCGCACATAGTTCATTCCCAGAGAGTAGATTGAAGGTCCACAAGCCACCCCTGATGAGTCAGGCAGCAGATTAAGCAGAAATATTTTGAAACACACTGCTGGGCTTGCCATTGCTTCTTTCTTAAATAGGAGGGAATGACTCTTCCGGGATGGAGCAATCCAGCCTTTCCAACCTGGTTTCCCCCAGATGTGTTGAGTTGCAACTGCCTGAGACTCCTGGGAGATGAGTTGCAGCACATCTGGAGGGCAGCAAGTGGGGAAGCCTGGTTTATGCTGTGACAGAAGCCTCAAGTCAGGCATCCCCTTCTTGCAAGTCCAATTGTGTGTGAGGACTGCTCACCAGCCCAGCTTCTTCTGCAGCTCCGTTCTGTGTGTTGGAAAGATGCTTGAAGTGGAGAGACTTCTCTCTCTTTGTGTGTGTGTGTGTGTGTGTGTGTGTGTGTGTGTATATATATTAAAATTTTTAAACTAACACTAAAAAAAATCAAGCATCACAAACATTAACATTGGATTCACTGGGTCAACCTCCTACTACATATTTTTAACATTCTAATATCAAATTCCAGTTAATTTATCATAGTTTGAAAAACATCTCTAAATTTACGCCAAGTCCCGTTTCTCCAGCCAATTATAAAAAGAGTCCCAAGTTCGATAGAAATCAGTATCCTCTTTCTCCTTCAACGATAAAGTCAGTCTATCCATTTCTGCACAGTCCAAGATCTTTCTTAGAATCAATCCATCGGTGGGCAGCTCCTCACTTTTCCAATATTGAGCAAATGCAATCCTCGCCGCTGTAATTAGATGCAACATCAGATAGATTTCCTGTCTGTTAACTTCTTCCGGTATAATGCCTAACAAGAAAACTTCGGGTTTAAAAGCAAAGGGTTTTTGTAATATTTCCTCCATCCATCTATGTATTTTAATCCAGTACTTTTTTGCGTTGTCACAAGTCCACCACATATGATAAAAAGTACCCACTTTATGTTTACATTTCCAACATATATTTGACATATTTGGAAACATCTTAGCTAGTTGACTTGGTGACAAATACCATCTATAGAACGTTTTATATAAGTTTTCTTTATATGAAGTTGCTAAAGTTACTTTAATGTTTCTTTCCCATAGTTTTTGCCACTTTTCTAGTTCAACATCAAATCCAAAGTTTTGTGCCCATATTATCATAGTTTCCTGAACTTGTTCTCCTTCCATTTTCCTGTCAAGTAAAAAATCATATAGTCTTTTAATAATTTTCTCATCTGTTTTAAGCATCACTTGATCAAATTCTGTTAGGTCTCTACAGAACCCCCATGTTTTACAATCCTTGGCATATCTTGATTGCATCTGCACCTTATATGGAGAGCCTTCTCTCCATGCAAGGGGTGCTGCCATAATTTTGGCTCTTGCCTCTTTTGGCTTTTGGCTCCTGCCTCTTGGCAGAGCAGCAGAGGCTGGGAGAGAGAGCTGAGGGTGGCCAGGGGACTGGCGAAGGCAAGGTTGGGGCTTGGCAGAGAAGGGGAACCGGAGCAGCGGAGAGGAAGAGAGGTGGGCGAAAGGGGCCAAGAGGAAGCCGAGGGGCGGGGCAGTGGCCTGGGAGGCTTATAAGACCAGTTTGCAGGGAAAACTGTATGAGGCGAGACTGGGGGAACTGGGTCTCTTCGGTCTGGAGGAGACTCAGAGGGGATATGTTGGTGACATACAGGTATGTGAGGGGGTATCACACGGAGGTGGGTAGAGACCTGTTCTCCCCTGCAGAGGAAAGCAGTATGCGTTCCAACGGAGCAAAGCTCAGGGAACCAAGGTTCAATTTGGATGCCAGGAAGCACTTCCTGACAGTTAGGACTCCGAGGGTGTGGAATGGGCTTCCACGGGGGGTCGTTGAGGCCCCATCGGTGAGGGTGTTCAAGGGGATAGGCTGGACATGTACATGGTGGGCACGTTGTGAGTGGAGCGAGCTGGAGCCGGGGGTCAGACTAGATGGCCTGGGAGATCCCTTCTGACTCTCTCTGTTTCTATAATGGGGTCAGTGAACACAAGCCCGTTCTCTCCCGTGGCATGAGCTTCAAAGAGAGCTGTAGACTCAGATGTGGAAGGTGCTTTGTCCAGCCCTCAGCTCAGCGCAGGACCTGCCATGTGGGCATCCACTGCAGCATCTCTGATGGATGGCCACGCAGCCTTTGCTTAAGCGCTTTCTCCACAGGCGGGCCTGCCAGGTCCTGCCCAAGGCAGACCAGTCCAGGCCCAACAGTGCATCCTGCAGGGAGTTTCTAATAACATTTAGCCAAAATCTGTCCTCTTGCACTTTTTATTCTGCCTCTCTGGCTCAGCTGCTCAGTCCTTTGTGTGCCTGCCTATCAATATACAAAGGCAGCTGGCAGGAGTGTATTATCTCAAATATACAAAGCAGTTGGTCTTTTTTAGGGGAAAAAAGAGCAATAGATTGTTTATGTCTAAATTTATGCTGCTATGATTGAGTGAAGGATAGATTGGCTAATGATTAGTCACTAATCAAACCTCATGTTAGTAATCATTTGATTTTTTTTTAAATCCACTTACAGACTATTACTCTTTAACAAGTACCTTCCATTGTGGCAACCTGATTAGACCTGCACCTGCTTAGCTTTAATCAGCCCTGTAGCACCAGGTGTGGCTGATCCATCTGCTGGATCCCAAGACAACCCCTTTGGCTACTTGGAAGCCATTCAGAGCACTTTGAAGGAAAAGCAAAATGTGATACATATGTACATACATCCCACCAAGCAGCTCCAGTGCCTGTCCTGTGCACTTCCACCAAACCCCTGATAAATCTGGTTTAGATGCCTGCTTGAGAGTGTAAAAATTGGGGCAGTGTTTGTTAGAGCCCATGATTAATTGGGGAGCAGAAGAGTCCTTCAAGACCAAGAACCCCTTTCAGGCGGTTGACTGAATTCAGCTTGGAGCCCTTCTCAAGCTCTGCCCCCTGGGGGCTCTGAGTGGCATGGGGGGAGCATTACCATTGTCTTACTCTTTCTCCTCCCCGCTTTGAACTCTCTGTACCTGCTCAGAGTTTCTGCTCTGCCACCCTGAGCTACAGTGGCTCAAAGGGCGATTACAGAGAAAGACGAATATAATGCACATTTAAATAAGAAGAATTTAAGGGCATATGGAGTGAGGTCTAAGAGAGAAGAGCTGTTATAGGAGGACAGGAATGTATATGCAATAGAGTGAAGGGACGAAAGAAGCCGGCAGTGGGGAACATAGCACAAATATTGTGGGAATGGAGAAGGGGGGAGGAAATGGCCAAAGAAGGGTTAGAAGCATTTGAGATGGGAAGAGAAGCACTAGGAGGAGCAAAACAATATGAAGTGGTTTTCCCTGTTAGAGCAGGGTTCCTGAGGCTTTTGGGTCAGTGGACACTTGGAAGATTGGGTGTCATGGGCACTCTCACAAAATGGAGCAGCCACCTATTCATAAAATGGCTTTCAGAGGGCAGGCAGGGTGACTAAAATAAAAGCTGCTTGCCCCAAAAACTAAATGCAAGGGAGATGTGGGGTTTGAGCTACAAAATGCAAAAGCATTCTTTGGAGTCCATAAAAAGATGGCACTTTGCAACCTGCCAGCCTCAGAGGTCTTTAAAAGAAGTGGAATGAAAATGCACCTTAAGGTACAAAAGTTTAGGAGGTAGGGAGCCAGCAGTGATGTTGACTGGCATATTGGCAGCCATGGGGACCAGGTTCAAGGCCCTATGAATGTGTGGTATGTGGCTCAGAAATTCATTTCCTCCATGACACAGAGCTGTAATTATTCTACCACGCTGTCCTGTCATCAGTATGTCCAGATCTTCAGCCCCCAAATCTCTGCAAATGGAAAAGGTGGTAGAAATGCCAGTGTTCTTTAAGCAAATACCACAGGGGCAAGGGGGTCAGTGGATGTTGCATTTAATTGCAGGAGCAATTCCAGCTGCAAATGGTGGAGGAGAAATGAACAGCATTTGGCTCCAGGAATTTAAATCCAGAGGCTATTGGTGCAATCCAGAACATGTCTATCAGTCTACTCAGAAGTAATTATTCCCTGCATACATACTGTAAAAGTACTTGAGTGATGAAAATAAGGGCAAAAGCCAAAGCTAATTCTGTCTGTGCCATCCCAGCAGGCTGTGCTGTGAAGAGGAATTAAATGAACCTTTGCTTCCAGGATCCCCACTTTTCCTCCACTTCTCTTCAGATTCACATTCATCAACAGCTAAGGGCCTGTCCGCATCCT